TATTCTATTCTATTCTATTCTATTCTATTCTATTCTATTCTATTCTAAGAGAGATTTCTGTAGGACTGACTGAAAAATTTGAGACCCAGGTTTTGGTTCTGGTTAAACTTAAAGTAAAATATGGGCTCATGAGCCATACACCTGACATTTTGGGGAAGGTAAATGTTTTCATTCAAGAGACATTATTTTTATGTGTTATAATTTACTGGCATACTTTATAATTTTTCTTTCTTTTTGTGAAGCTTTTAAAAAGTACTCTCCATCCTGAATGTAAGGGAGTGATAGTATGTGTGAAAACACATACCAAAAAAGAAAAAAGAAAAGAAGAGAAAAAGAAAAAGGCAAAAGAGATTTAAATGAGGGAGAAAGAGGGTTCCAGAAAGGGAACCATTAGTTTCAGATGAAAGCCATCAGCAGCTATAAGGAAAGGTAGATGAGTGGATCAGTCTCACCAGTTCTCTCCTGGGACAAGTTAGCTTTTATAAAGACAGATCAACTTCTGCAGGCCTCACTTACTCATAGCAAACATTTCTTTTTGATTTAACCAAGGACTTTTTTCTTTCTTTCCAAGTATCAACAGACACGTAGTCCTCCCCCACTTTCTCCTCCCCCTCCCCATCACATCTGGCAAGCAAACAAGTCAGAACATCTCTTCTGGCCGGGAGCCAAAGAGCTGATGAAAAAATTGGGGAGCCATAACTTTGCAAAACTCAAGATGCATTTCCAGCCGTCTCCTCTTAGATGCCATGAGCAATGGGCTGGATCAAAGGGGCTCACCCTCCCTGTACTCCCTGGGAAACAAGTCTGGGAAAGCCATATTCGAGCCCAAATCACAAAGCGGCCCATTGTGTAGCAGAGTAGTTACCCTAATCAGCCCAAGTCAATTACAGATATAAAGAAAACATGGGCAGGAATTCAGAAATTCATTTCTGACAGGTAAGATGGGAGAGAGGACATTTAGCAATGACACTGCAAGAGCTCTCGCTTACCTGGCCGATGCCATGTTACATTCCCAAGGTCTTCATTAAAGGCTGCCACCACTGCCCTTGTCTTGTTCCAGCAGCCAGGCAGGTTCATTCAGACTGAGTACAGGGAGTCCTCAACTTACAACAGTTCATTTAGTGACCGTTCAGTGTTACAATGGCATTGAAAAAAGTGACTTATGGCCATTTTTTCATAGTTACGAACTTTGCAGTTTGGCCACTGTCTCATATTTATGACCTTTGCTGTGTCTCAGGGATATGTGATCCCCTTTTGCGACCTTTTGACGAGCAAAGTCAACGGGGCATCCAGACTCACTTAACAACCAGGTTACTAACTTATCAATTGCATTGATTCACTCAACAAACTGTGGCAAAAATAAGGTCGTAAAATAGGGCAAAATTCACTTAGTGAATGTCTCACTTAACAGAAATTTTGGGCTCAATTTGATTGTAAGTCGAGGACCACCTGCATAGGAATCCTCCTTAGCTTTTATGCACGCCGGACTTCCTACTGTGTTATTACCTTCGCTTCCAGAGTCCATTCCCCACTGGAATATTGACGGTAGGATCCGTAATAAGCAAAAGTATATCTCAGCTCAGAATTAGATCTACAAAGATGATCCTGGAGAGAATAAACTGTGATGAATCCCCTTTTCCAGCAATGGGTCAATCTTTTGGTAGCTGAGGACCATAGATTACTTGGGCTGTAGAAAGTGGGACCTGGAGTGCTTGCAAGAACAAAAAATAATATATAAATGAAATCCTACAATATGAAATGAAGCAAAAGTCATTGCATTTTCAATCCCCTGCCGCTTGTGACTGTATGACTGTAACTTTGTCGCTTGTATCCTTAAGATTTATATTGACTGTTTTCTAGTATTATTTGATAGCTTATTGTACCCTATGACTATCATTAAGTGTCGTACCTTATGATTCTTTTTTTTTTTTGTAAATTTTATTTGAGTTTTCACAAAGAGAAAAAAAATACAAATAAAACATCTTTTTTGAAAGCAGCACAATCCCGGGTTACATTTCTTCATACAGACACAAATTCTGGTTCATGCTCATTTTTATATTCTATTCCATATTTTATTACTATTTTACATTTTCTACATAGCTTCTCCCCTCTTTTAATTTTCTCAATTTTATTTTAATTATCTCATCTCAATTCAAATCATTGTATTTATATTTTTTGTCTGTCCTGTTTCAATTATATATTATCTTTTCTCATTAACAAAATTTCTCCTGTAGTTACTGATTGGAGTATGACGCCTTTATATCTTTTCCCTAAAGTTGTAACATTCAATATAATACATAACTTCCATTCGGATTCTGCTTGGTACATTCTTAAAATACACACTGTATTCTTAAAAAATGAAAAAAATTATAAATATATATAATTAAAACAACATTCCATTCCAATTCAATTCTATCATTAATATTAATATTCATTAAAGTCTTAACAACTTTAACATTACTTTTCAATTAAATATCATACTTCTATGGGAACAATTATAAGCTTTCCATAGTTAATTCCCCCCCCTCTTCACTTATATTTTATAAAACATTAACTAATTAAAATGTTTCCAAGTGTCGTACCTTATGATTCTTGACTCTTGACGAACGTATCTTTTCTTTTATGTATACTGGGAGTATTTGCACCAAGACAAATTCCTTGTGTGTCCAACCACACTTGGCCAATAAAGAATTCTATTCTATTCATGTGGGAACTCCTGCATGTCATTCTGATACCCTGTTGCCCACTTCTGGGTTTTGTTCTGATTCTTGCTTGTACTTAACTTCATTGGTAAATGATTGCACTTGTGATTGGACAGGTAGAAAGCCCTGTTTCTGAGAATCCAAGCTTTCTCTCTCTTGTTGGTTAAAATCAGCAGAACAACTGGTCTCTAGCTGCTTTTCATGAAGTCCAAAGCACCCTTCGAAATAATTCCCATACTAGAAAGAAAAGATGTTTATTTAAGTCTGTTTAGAACAGAAGGGAAGAAATAAACTTACCTTCCTATTAAACTTGCAGCCAATGTCCCAGAATTTAGCAGGACTACCTGGCCTTTCCTGTTCTTTGATCTGTAAAAACAGAGTAATGTAGGCTACATCCTTGCCAAAATGTGAACCAGCAGAGGAAAATGAGCGTTGAATCATACCAAATCAATGAGAGCAAGAATACAATTGAGATGAAGCTTAAAACATGAAAAAGGAACTGTTGAACATCATCACTATGAACAGATAGGGTTCCACTGTGTGTTAAATGTACAACCTGTAACTTGGGTATCTCAGCAAGGGTGTTTTGATATTAAAAACAAGTTCCCAAGAGAAGAAGAAGAACATGTTCTCCCATTACAATGAATGATCAATAATCAGAACTTGAACAACTAGTATTATATTTAAGATGATTTAAGATGGTTGGGTTTGCACGCCATGCTAAGTTACAAAAGTTGGTTTGTAAGCTATAGTATCAAAGTTTACACATTACACAATGCCAAAACTGAGTTTATATAAATCCACTCTTTGAATTAGGGCACTTGAAGAACATATATGATTCTGTTTCCAAAAGCATTATTGAAATAAAAATATGCCCAGAAAGAGAGAATGCTACAACAAGAAGCAGTCTGTACATCTATGCTAAGGCTTCCTGCCATTGACAAATCATCTCATCTTGATTAATGGGCTTTGGATTTCACTCCCAAGTTGAATTCTGGCTAAACTACCAGCTCTATCCGCATCAGGATTAATTCCCTGGCTGGGACATAGAAGGTCCCATAAGGAACAGCTGGGACAAAGAGGGCCATTGACCTGCGCAGCAAAGCTGTCAGTATACAAATTAAGATGTTATTTGGATATATCAGAAGGTTGTTCCTGATTTCACCTATGAAACTATGGAGGGATTCTGTGTTCTCATCTAGAGGTGAGCCAATTTACTAACATGAATTTCTTTCAATTTCTTATAGTGGTGAAAATTGGTTTGGGCTCCTCTCAGTTCTTCATTTCCTGCTTTGACCCATTCCTGTGCTGAGCATTAAAAAAATGTTTGCAGAAAAATGGCCATGCATTTTTGGTCACAGCCCCTCCAGACCTTGCATTATGATATTCAGTTGGGTCTGATGTGCATTCCTCTGTAGGTAGCTTCCCCAGTATGACTTCTGTGCCTCATGAACAATCAATCAGTGGAATGAATTGCCTCCAGGAGTTGTGGATGCTCCAACACTAGAAGTTTTTAAGAAGAGATCGGACAACCGTTTGTCTGAAATGGTAGAGGGTTTCTGGCTTGAGCAGGAAGTTGGACTGAAAGACCTCCAAGGTCTCTTCCAACTCTGTTATTCTGTTATTTGCATGAAGGGTTACGTTTCTGTGCCTTTCTTTCTCACAATGTCATTGCTTTTGCTGAACTCATCAGTGTTCTAGCAACCTCCAGAAAGAGGTGAATATAAAAAGGCAACCAAGCTTTAGTTTGTGCTTTGCTGAGGAAAAAAAAATGGACAGGACTGTGCTTAGTTGCAAAGGAAATGAAATTTCTCTTGCATCTCTCTACTCGATTGAAATCTCTTCTGAAAAGTGTGCTGCTCATCCAGAAGCCATTGTTTCCTTTCTGTGGGTTTATTTTAGTCCTGATTGAGAGAGTTTTCTTGTCAGGTCTGCACTGCTCTCCCTAACTCTTTCCCTCCCACTCCCTAACTATCCACTCAGCTAAGCAAACAAACCCAGCACTTGGCCTGTTCACAAGCTGCTCACCCGCCAATCTCGCCCATCCTCCGTCTAGTCTAGCAACACTTCTAAAACAAACACCCCTTCCCTCCGTCCTCACTGCCATGGCATGCAGTTTGTGCACACCCGTGATGGCTGCCTCCTCCCCTTGTGCCCACGTGAGGATGTGCGAGATAGTCCGCAAGGGAGGTGACTCGCTGTTCTCTTTGAATAAACACAGGCTGAAAGTATTAGCCCTGGAATAATAAGGGCAAGAGAGTCCAGCCACCTCTCTCCCCTCCTCCCTTGCAAAAAAAGAGAGAGAGAGAGAGATTTGGAAGGGATGCGGGAGAGGAAAGCCTCCAGCCTTCTCGAACTGACAGAAGTCTCTCCAGAGAAAGAAAGGAATAACTATTCAGCGCAGAGCTGCATTTAGTTTGGCAGCCCAGCCAAGACAGACAACATCTCAAAGTGTGTTTTCTCTTCCAAGGGAGAACATTAACTCCCAAAGACAGAATGATGGAGTGACTCAGAATTCCATTTGTTACAAGCTTGCCAGATGACATTTTTCACTTTCTAATTCAAGCAACCACGAAGCAGATCTCTGGGACAGGGAAGAGGAAAGTGGGGTGCAAACGCCATGTGAAAACAATAATCCTGTTAGAGTTCAACTGTGACCCACAGCCAGAAATTCTCCTTGGACTGTTGACCCTTAAAAGCATGGGTAGAGAAATACAGTTTGCTACATGTTTGGGATTAATATTCCCATAGAGCACAACTGGGATGATCCATATTCACAGGGAAGGGGAGCTGTAACCCTAAACATATGAACTGGTTTGTGTTCCCTGTTGCTACCTTTAAACCATCTTGAAATGTCTCTAGTGATGTTGGCTATAGCAATAGCAATAGCGCTTACTCATATACCGCCCCATAGTGCTTTATAGCAGTCTCTGAGTGGTTTACAAAGTCAGCATATTGCCCCCAACAATATGAGTTCTTATTTTACCAACCTTGGAAGAATGGAAGGCTGAATCAACCTTAAGCTGGGCAGAATTGAACTTCTGGCTGTCAGCAGGGTTAACCTGCAATACTGCACTTTAACCACTGCACCTCCGGGGCTATTATGGCAATTTAAGGTAATTCTCATCTTGTCTTCTAGATAAATATATGACATGTTTGGAGTACTCAATGGCAGGATACCATTGTGGTTCAAGAGCTCATGAGCAATAGCACTTAGACTTATACACCACTTCATATTGCTTTACAGCACCCTCTAAGCAGTTTACACATTGCCCCCAACAATCTGGGTCCTCATTTTACCAACCTCAGAAGGATGACAGGCTGAGGCAACCTTGAGCCCCATCAGGATCAAACTCTAGGGCTGTGGGCAGAGTTAGCCTGAAATGCTGCATTCTAACCATTGCGCCACCAGGGCTATGCATTATTTCTGATCTTTGAATAGGAAACATGGCCTGTTTATTACTATGCTGAGAATGGGATGTAACCTTTCTTACTTCATACCATTGAAAAAAAGCTAAGCATCACCAACATTAGTGATAAACAGACGTCTGTGCAGTGGAGGAGTATTGATAGTGTTTGCTTTGTTTTAATCTAGGATCCATCATCTTAAGTTTCCTTCAGTTCCACCATGAACTCTGAACCACTCTGAAGCACCATTTTAATCTTTCCAGATTGTTGTACAGAAAGTACCATGAGGGTGTTACGAAATGTTGAGCCCTTTGGGGAGGGAGAGTGAAGCCTTTCTGGTTCATTCCTCTGTGATTTGCTGTTCTTACCATCTGTTATTTTTCACTTGTTGTTCATTTCTCTTGTTTTAGTTGTTGTGAGCTGCCCAGAATTGTTGTGAGTTGGGTGACATACAAATTTGATAAACAAATAAACAAACTATCCAGAGCCATGTTGCCACAATGGTTAGAGTACAGTATTACAGGCTATTCTGACAACTGCAAGCAGTTCGATCCTGACTGGCTCAAAATCGACTCAGTCTTCCATCCTTCCGAGGTTAATAAAATAAGGACCCATATTGTTGGGGGCATTATGCTGACATTTGCAAACTGCTCAGGGAGCGTTGTAAAGTACTGTGGTGTGGTATCTAAGTGCCATTGCTATTGCTATGATGAAAAAAGCCACTGGCCTCCACAGAAGGTAGAAGAAAGCTTCAGAACTTTTTCTCATGAAATTCCAACTTGTTTTGGCTTTTCAAAAAGAGAATATTGGTAGGGTTGATTTTTCAGTTTGTTTTTTTTAAAAAAAACTATACATAAGGGCTAAAAAAAACAACCCTTTCATCACTATCATTAACAATATGGGCCTTCCATTATCTGTGTTGTGAAAGAGAGGAACCAGTGGTAGGATGTGATGAAATATTGGTCTTCTGAATCAATATGCTTTCTCCCAAAAGGTCTTCTCTATTGCAGATACTCGTTGACTTAGAACTGGTCACTTAAAACCATTCCAAGTTAAAGTGGACCCTGAAAAGGGGATCCTGCAGTCATGTGACCATGATTTACAACACTTTTGCTGGAAACTGGCATTTATTTTCTGTTTCAGGGTTAAAAAAACATCCTATAACAAGCAATGGCTTCATTTAATGACTGCCAATTTGCTTAATGACTGCCACAGAAAAGATTGTAAAATCGGGTGCAGTCACATGGCGACCAGAACTTGCAGGCTCAGTTAAAGCCGTCAGTCAAGGACAATCTGTTTTTTATTTTTACTCTTTCTTCTTGAAAGAGAAATCATGAAAAGCCTAGTTCTTCCACTCGTCTTCAAGACCTACTTGGAAACTGAAGCATGGAGAGAAGAAGGGTCCACAATCTGACAAGTGTTTTTCCCTCCTGTCTGATCAGAACACGCCAAAGGGGACAAGAATGGGCAGGATGGGAAGAAAACAGCATTAGGGAAGCAGATTAACTTTCCTGTTTATTTGACATTAATCTTTAATGTAAACACACTTCCCCATTCCATAAGTCACTGTTGAATGCTGAAAATGGGAAGAAGGATGTCTGAGTGTATGGAGGCTTGATTGCAACACGGAATGTAGGCAATATTTTCTTGGCAAGGGAACCCCAGTCAAGAGTTTTATTTGAAGGGTATTCATTATTTTCTTTTCCTTTTTTTTAATTGAGCATTTTGAAAGGGGGGAAAAGCAGAAGCAAAAAGAAAAAAATAGTCAACAACTTCACAATGTGTTGATTTGTAATCATCCCTGCATGCAGAAAATTAACACATCTAGGACTTTTAAGCTGGGTTCACACATCACACAACATAGGGCCACTTTGGTCTATTAGTGAAGGCACCAGGCTAGAATTTAGGAGACAGTGAGTTTTAGTCCTGCTTTAGGCATGGAAGCTGACTCGGTAATTTTGGGCTTGTCATTCTTTCTCAGCTCAACCCACTTCACAACATTATTGTTGTGGGAAAACATAAGAGGAAGAAGTATTGTGCATGTTCGCCAACTTGGATTGTTTATAAAAATAATAAAGGTGGGATAAAAGTAAACAAAAACCTTTCTTAAGACAAAACATGCTTACTGAATAACGTACATCTGCTTGCACTGATTCCCAAGCAAAGCAAAGACAATGCAACTTCCATCAATTTGAAATTGAAAATTTGGGTGACACATCCAAAGGTATCATCTAAAATGCATGGGACCAAAAATTGTGAAATCTTCAGGAATCTAAGAGGCCTAAAGCACTTTGCACGCATTAGATTTTGTCCCTTAAGCCCTCCCTCCAAACCCTCCCCCAAAGTCAAAAGGAGGAGACTAATTTGGGGGCTCTACTAATTCTAGAGGCCACAAGGAGGATGCTGGCATGGTTCTTCATGCCCACACCATAAGCCACAGTTATAAGCTGCAGCAGCTAAGTTCATGTATGGCACTAGACCAAAGTCCAACTGTAGCCCAGGATGATTCAGCATCTGCTATAAACCAGACCACAGAGTAATGATGATGGAAACATAGAAGGAGGAAAGGAGGAGGACTGGAGAACTTCAGACAGGTTGTGGGGAGAGGTTCTTGGGGGGGAAAAAAGGAAAAATGATTTCACAAATCTTTTAAAATACCAGAGCCTGGGGCTGCAACATCAACCACTATTTCATTAAATGGGGACATTAATTTTAACAGCTGTACAGCAGATGTGGGGCCAAAAACACAATCATGGTGCCTTCCCTTAGTCTCCCCCCCAGCCCACTTAAAAGTATTAAGCACAAGGCATCTCTCTCTCTCTCATTCAGTCCTCCTACCCATGGCCTACAGCTATAATATGGTTTTTGTGAGGATCAGAAAAAATAAACAGAGCATAACCAGGACAGTCCTAATGTGCTAAATTACCAAAAAAGACATAACAGATTAGCAGGCAGGCTGAGGCGTGGTGGACAAGGGCCAACCTCTCCATTTCAGGGAGTTATTTAGTTAAGGGTTGGTTTTGCTTTCCCTGCCTCTCAGGATGGATGTCAGCCTTCATCAAACCCAGTGGGGAGGGGAGGTGAGTCAGTGAAGTGCTTATAAGAAAGGCGCAGGGGGGGCTTTCCCTGAGCTTTCCCAAGTTTCAGCTGGGATCCTTTTTTGTTGGAGGGTGGAGAAAACATTGTTTTGCTTTGCGTATCAGGGCGCTTATTCTCCTTCAAGCTAATCATGGAAAAATGATAACAAATCAAGGAGAAAAGCAGCCTGAAATGAAGGAGTAACTTCCTAAGGGTGAGAACAATTAACCAGTGGAACAGCTGGCCTCTAGAAGTTGTGGGTGCTTCGTCACTGGAAGTTTTTAAGAAGAGACTGGACAGCCACTTGTCTCAAATTGTATGGGGTCTCCTGCTTGAGCAGGAGGGGGTTGGTCCCTTCCAGCTCTGTGATTCTATTATTGACTTATAGCAGCGGTTTTCAACCTTCCTAATGCCGCGACCCTTTAATACAGTTCCTCATGTTGTGGTGTCCCCCAACCATAAAATGATGGCTCAGTTCCTAAGACCATCAAAAATATGTGTTTTCCGATGGTCTTAGGCAACCCCTGTGAAAGGGTCGTTCGACCCCCAAAGGGGTCGCGACACACGGGTTGAGAACTACTGACTTATAGCAAAAGCACTTAGACTTAATATACCACTTTGCAGTGCTTTCCAGCCCTCTCTAAGCGGTTTACAGAGTCATCAATATTGCCCCCGACAATCTGGCTCCTCATTTTACCCACCTCGGAAGGATGGAAGGCTGCATCAACCCTGAGCCTGGTGAGATTCGAACTGCCAAATTGCAGGCAGCCGGCAGTCAGCAGAAATAGCCCGCAGTACTGCATTTTAACGACTGCATCACCACAGTTCTTATTATCATCTATACAGTGGATCAGTGGTGGGATTCAAAGTTTTTTACTACCAGTTCTGTGGGTGTGGCTTGGTGGGCATGGCGTGGCATGGCTTGGCAGGCTTGGCAGGGGAAGGATACTGCAAAATCCCATTCCCACCCCACTCTATTAACCTGCTTTCCAGCTCCGTTCTCCTGTGCAGGGCAACCAAAGAAGACTCAGCTGATCAGCTGGGACTCGGGAGGCAGAGAATAGATGGGGTTGGTGGGGGCCAGTCAGAGGTGGTATTTGCCAGTTCTCCGAACTACTCAAAATTTCCACTACCAGTTCTCCAGAACTGGTCAGAACCTGCTGAATACCAACTCTGTAGTGGATGTACATGTGTTCGGTTCTGATTGAACCTTCTGGAGAAGTGAGACCTTCAGGTTGCTTGTTTTTTTTAAATCCAAAGGAAAAGAAAGTTGGGGAGAACATTTCCTCCTGTATGGGATGTAGGATCTTTGTGCTTATTTTAGGGGTAAATTTCGCTCTAGCAATTTTATGCCTTTAAAAAAAAAAAAATCAGGGCATAAGGTTTGCAACTGCTGAGGGAATGAGTGGAGTTGTACATCCTTCTCACACTTCTTTTGTCTGCTTGTGTGAAATTGGAAAGCTCTGTGTCATCAACAACCATACCAGGTTGTGAAATTGGCCTGGTCTTTGCAGTGGAATGATTCCTGTGACTGGGGGTTATTGTGATACTCCGCCAACAACATTAACAGAGGGATAGAATCAACATCACCTGTAGTGTTAGTACCACTTTATAAGAGTTTGGTAATACTACACTTGAAATGTTGCATCTAGTTTTGGTCCCCATGATACAAAAGAGATGTTGAGACTCTGAAAAGAGTGTGAGAAGAGCAACAAAGATGATTAAAGGGATGGAAGCTACAATATATGAAGAATAGTTGCAGAAATTGGGAATGAAAAGAAGACTAGGGATGATATTGACAATCAATATCTGAAGGGCTGCCACAAACAAGAAAGGGTCAACTTATTTCCCAAAGCATCAAAAAGCAAGACAAGAAGCAACGGATGGAAACTAACCAAGGAAAGAAGCAACCTAGAACTAAGGACGAATTTCCTGACAGTGAGGACAATCCATCAGTGGAACAGAAGTTGCCTCCAGAAGTTGTGGGGGCTTCATCACTGGAGGCTTTTAAAAAGAGACTGAACTGCCTCTTCTTTGAAATGATATAGGGTCTCCTGCTTAAGCAAGAGGTTAGACTTGAAGACCTCCAAGATCTCTTCCAACTCTGATGATGTTCTATGTTCAGCATGAAAATGTCTTAATAACTGTTTGTTTTTAATGCCACATCTACATGACTTCATCACCAGCCCACAGCTGAAGTCATGCTTAGCTGTTCCAAGTTCCAAGTAATGTTTTTTTCTCTTTGCCCAATGCAAATTTTGGCACTGGAGAAGACCTGACATGCCTCATAGACAATGTGTTGGCCACTTTCAGCTCCTTTGCACATGCTTCCCACTTTCTAGGAACTGCCCCCATGCCAATTTGCCGTACAGTGTGGAAAACATCAACCCCGTCTTCCACAGAGGCATCTGCTTGCATAATACCTCATCAGTGTTTCCAAAGCACTTCTCAGGTCATATATGGCTTTTTGAAAACATGGGTTAAATGCTTGTTTTGAAAGAAAGGGGATAGATAGATGGATAGATGGATAGATGGATGGATAGGCAGGCAGGCAGGCAGGCAGAAAGAAAGAATAATTTTATTGTTACTTTGAATGTACACTAATCGGCATACAATAAAACAAAATTACATTGTATACAGCTCTCAAAAAGTCAGCACCTCCAATATATACTACATAAACAAGACAAAATAAATGAATACAAAATTATGCATATACCCACATATATTATATGACACAGAGAAACAACAGAATCTACTTCGGATGTATACAAGTACATGGCGAGAAAAATGAATGGGGGACTAATTATATGCCATCATGTAACTGTTGATTCTCTAGAAAGATTTGTCGCTAACCCTGTTGTGGTTAACCGGTAGCAGGTTCAGACGGCTGAGGAGAGCGAGGACTCAGATGAGGGGCCAGGACCATTAGGGAGTAGACTGCTGCCTTCAGAGATTGTGGGGGCTGGCAGCAGCAATGAGGAGGTTCCCGAGGAGCCTGTGCCAAGTGCGCTTGTGCGCAGGGTTGCTCGTAAGAAAGAGCAGCTGCAGCAGCATGGGCAACTCAGGAGTAAGGCTGCAAGGTAATGGCCCCTCCTTCAAGAAGATAAAAGCCAGCTGTGAATCAGACGTTCTTTGCAGGAAGCAAAGACATTTTGAAACTTGAGCCTTGTGGGCATTGCAGTATCTTAGTTGGTATTTGAAGACTCTTGTGTTGTAAAATATTTCTAGGTAACCTTACCTGTTATTTCTGGCAGCCTCTGTGCTTATCAAAGTTAATTAGTTTGCAGCAGCCTTTTAACCAGGGATTCGTAAGAATCATTAAAAGGTTTATGTTCCCTTTGGTTCATGTTTGTTTTATTGGACAAGGGTTTGGGTCAGAATAAACCCAATCTTTCAGGTCTGTTGTTCACTCATCGCCACTATAATTATTATTTATTTATTAATCAAATTTATATAGCTGCCCATCTCATGAGAATCCCAAAGGTGTTTTTTCAAAAGGCAACTGGATTTCTTTGTTCTTCCTTGAAGACGTTTCACTTTTCATCCAAGACGCTTCTTCAGTTGAACTGAAGAAGCGTCTTGGATGAGAAAACATCTTCAAGGGGAAAAAAAGTAAAGAAATCCAGTTGCTTCTTGAAAAAGCACCTTCCGGATAATCATGACTACCTGGATGACTAAGAATCTCCCTAGGCATCTCACAAGAAGGAACTCTGGTGAATGAACTGTTATTTGCTGCTGATAGTCATGTCCTTCTTGTTCTTTCTACATTTCCCAGCATTACAGCTTTCTTCAAAGAGCTAGGTCTTCACATAATATG